CCCCCCCCCCCCCCCACCTTAGAAAAAAATTTGAATAAGACAACCCAAGCTCAAGAGCGCCCTGTTGAAAATCAGAACCACGGCCATCCGCTCGACAGTCCAGCAAGCTACGAACTGAGCTAACGGAGCGCCATATTATCCCATTCGGCTTAATCTTACGTATTCGAACTTCAATGTGTTAACAAATCCAGGAACAAAACCACCGCAAATTAAACCAACATACGTAACAAGACTAAAAAGGTAAAATTAATCGTTTGCCCTAAATTCAGAACTTACTTAACCTAGTACGCTAATCCTCTCGGGGTCTCCACTCTCCATGGGGCCACATATGGGTCGCCATGACGTCATCATACGAGAAAGACCTAATTTATCTTAAGAATGAGGGGGGGGGGGTCGAAATTTACTTTTACCAAACAAGAGCCAAGAGAACACGTCATGATTTAAAAGACAGATAATATATTTCGTGACAAGAATAAAGAGCGAGCTTGACCCGACAAGGAAACAATTATTTTCTGGATCGGCGCTACTATATACCAGAACCGGGGGGCACTTGGCTGAGGTAGGTACTAAACACACGTAATACTAGCATTTGGCAGCGCCCGGGGGAATATAAAAAAAGAAGAAATTACAAGCCTACCCAATTAACACAAGAGGGCCCAAAGCCACAGATCGAACAATAAAAACCTGAAACCCATAGTTATCAGCGCTGGTTCGGGAACTGTAGGGGGACAACAAGGCACCGTTCTTACTCCGGTACAAACAGCAATTACAATACTACACAGACCCTGACGAGCGGGGCCATGTTGGCAAAGGTATACACACATTGTACGGATGTATTGTATTACTGGTCTTTGTTTTGGTATTTAGGCAATTTATGACCCCCCTATTCTTCGTTAAACAAAGGGGGTTTTTGGAACAATGTGTTTTCTGTGTGTGAGAAAAGCTGTGTGTGGGTACAGTGAGGCCGTCTGCCTTTGAGAGGCGCGTGTCTTCGCTCTAGAACTGGGGGATCTCCTCATAGCGGAGTGAAAGGGGGGACTGTGAACGATGCCAGATCTTTACGACTGGAGCCGCTGCAATAAAACGCCCTA